CACAGAACATCAACTCTATCTTGAATAATTTAAAATACTTTCAAAATAACTTTAAAGAATTATTTTAATAAAAAAAAAAATATATTGTAAATTAATAGTAAAAAATTCTATTAAAAGTTATAAAAAAATGAACTTAAAAGAATAATTTTAATAGATGAGTAAAATAAGGAAAGTTACAAGAGAAGAATTGTTACAAGAATGTGATGTTATTAGACATAGTCTTAGAGCAAGTGATTTAAGTAATGCTACAAATATATTGAGTGGATTAATTACTCAAATAGATTTATTACCAACTGACTTATCACATGTTTTAGAACGTGGTCTTAGAGGGGTTTTAGACTTTTTTATAACACAACAAATGAGAAATACAACATTAACGAAAGACAATAATATACGATTTGTTATTGATTCATTATTAACATTTTATTCAAAACATATTTGTCTGACAATACAATCAATAAAAGTAAAAAATTCATTAAAAAGTTTAGTATTTTCATTAAAACAAGTATTTTTAATATTAAGACATCCACCTCAAGATACATTAAAAAAATATGCTAATTATTCTAAAACAGTAATTTCAATTTGGAACTCTATTGTTATTGCATTTTCTACACCAAGTGATGCATGTGATGAGTCTTTATTAGAAATACTTGGAGATTGTTTAGATGAGTTTTATAGATTGTCTTTATTTACAAAAGGTATTGATGAAATGATGATTAATATCTCTTTTAGTCAAATCTCAGCTAAATCTGGGACAGAAAGAAAAGCCAAAACTAAATTTTTTATTACTATTTCACGATTTGGTAATTTACAATTTACTAATGCACTATCATTAGCATTAAATTCTATGGAAACATTAATTTCTCGAGACCAAGAATTACTTGAAGCATTTACTAAAGATTATTGTAGTGCACTTGATTTAATAGTAAGTAATCCATTTAAATATCAATGTATTTTTCAGTTAGAAGCAAATGTATTAAAAAGTTTTGATTTTGAAGGAGTATTAAGGTTTTTTAGTGAGATGAATATTGTAACACATTCAAAAGAGATTTATGTTCAACACAATTATTTTATATTATATTTTACTGTTATTTGGATTGGGATTCATGTAAAATCAATAATTTCAGTAATTGTTGATGCGGTAGATTGTTTTAATTCATATATTCCTACATTATTAAAGAGTGGAGTAGAGCAAGAAAGTACATTATTGTTATTAAGCGAATTAATAATTCTTTTTAATTCTAATAATAAAGAAAAAAGGAATGAAAGATTATATAGTGCAAGTAAAACAATAATTTCTATTATTTCATTATTATTATCAACTAAATTTGATTATTTTGAAATTCTTTTAACAAGAAAAAAAGAAGAAATAATTACTTTTGTTAATATTTTAGAGTTTATGATTGATGATTCAAAAATTAAAGATAAAACTGAACAAATTAATTTCTTTTCAACGTTATTAACTGCTATATTTAATCAGCCAAGAGATAAACATAAATATTATTTTGATATTCTTAATATTAAACCAAAAGAAATTTTTAATAAATTTATTTCATTTACTAATGGTAATGAAGCAAATATAAAAGCTGCCTATTTAGCTTTAGCAAAAGGAATTAATATTCTTATTGATGCCGATATTAAACAACATGCTGACATGTTATGGAAATTAGTAGATACTTTCTTTACTTTTCCAGTGACTTATCCTTTTAGTGTTACTTGTGCATATTTACGTTCATTACAACAACTTAAATTAAATAAACTTTTTAGAGCAGAAAGACAATATGTTATTCCACAAACAAGAAGTGGTATTCATACAATTATTTGGGAAACAATTCGTTATTTCTTACGTAGTTCTAATGAGGCTATTGGAGAAACTGCTAGTGAAGTTGGTGGTAAAGTAGGTGTATTTCCACTTCAAATAATTCATGATCCTATTTATCTTGTTAATGAATTAAGATGTGTATTATATGGAATTTCATATTTAACAGTATTTTCTTTGAGATACGTTCTTCCAAGACAAAAAAATCCGTTAACTGGAAAAAAGAATTTAATAAAATATGCAATTGATTCTTCTATGTCAATTATTCAATTTCATAATTCTGTGTTATGTGGGAATGCAGTAAATACAAAAGTAAAATCATTAACTAATTCAGTCAAAATTATTACATATTCAGCATTAGAATCTCACACATCAAATAAAGATATTTATAAATATTCATTGGAATTTGTTTTAAAATTACTTCATTGCTCTTTAAATGTTTTTCATCCTCAAATTATTCTTCAAAGCAATCAATTTAATACAAAAAGTTCAGATAATTTATTATTATTTAAATTAGGTGAAGAAATGGCAGAAATGTATTCAATGGCGAGCCATACAGCAACTCATCCAACTGAAACATTAGTAGATGAATTGTTATTTTGTCTTGCTGTATTAATACGAAGAACAGGAAAAGATATTGTTTTAAATTATTTATATGATATATCTTCATACATTAAATTATATCATATTGACCATCTTCTTGCTTGTGTTGCTATTCTTGATGAACTTACAGCATTAAGTTGTGGTGGAGTTATTGTTGGTGATGATGAGGATATGATTAATTCAGCATTGTTTAAAAATGTTTCAAAAGAAATTATCACTTCAACAAACCAATCACAAAGTTCAACTACTCCTTCACAAATTAAACAATACACAATAAAAGAAAACATAGACCAAACACAAATTAATGATCAAATTCAAGAAAGTAAATTATTAAATGACTCTAATAATAAAAATACATTGAATGAAAGAATAAATGATAACTTGTCATCAATAAATGATTATAATCTTTTTATTAATGAAGAAGGAGAAAATAAAGAAGAAAAGAAAAGAAAACAAAGCATAAATGCATATTCAAATAATGTACATCTTAAAAGAACAACAGAGTCATTAAAATTTCATAATGATATTAATAAATTAAGAAAAGAAAAATATAGACATAAAGGATATTCATTAACTGACCTTCAATGTATTACTAATCAATGGGTTCCACAAAGTTGTCAAGACCAAGCAATATGGATGGAAACTAATATATTAACAAATCTTGTTATTGGAGATATTATTAATGGATTTTCATTAGAATATGATGAAAGATGTGTTATAATGGATTTTGCAATGAAATATTGTAAAACAGGATTTGTTATTGGACCACCTGATTTTACATTTTCAAAGAAAACAAATGTTTTTCAACATAGTGTAGAGGAAAGTTTATTTATTTCATATAATAATTTATATGGTAAATTATTTCATCAATATAAACGTGATGCAAATCAAGTTGATAATTTTAAATCATTGTATCAACAAATGATTCCTTCTCATTATGTTATTCCAAGTGTAACAAGTATCAATTTTGAAGACACTGAATCCCTTAAACGATTTATTATTTATATTAGAAAAGTAAAAAATTATCAAACAAACTTCCATTCACTTACTGCAATAGAAATTGCTGTATCTGCAAAAATTTTATATAAAATTATAACTACTATGAGAGGAGTTAAAACATTTGATCAATATCAAATTGATGATCTTTTTGATATATTTGAACCACGAAAGGATGAAGGTTTAGTTTCAATTCATACATTTTATGACACAATTGCAGCTAGAGAAAAAGATAATGAAAAAATTCAACATGACGCTACAATTATGAGTTTATTATTACAAGGATTTTATGAGTCAATGAAATTATTAAATAAAATGGGGTCTGCAAAAGACCCTATAAGTAGAGGAATATTTAGAATTCATCAAGACTTATTATGGGGATCAGTTGTTAATCATGACTTATTTTATCTTAATGACTCTGGATCAATTCGTATTATCATTAATTCACTCTTAAATGAAGCATTAAGAGAAATTTCTTTATTCCCTATAAATGAAAGACCAGATGAATATAAACGAATTGTTAGACTTTCAGGTACGTTTGTAGATAAATACACACATCCTGCATTAAAATATTATTCAGAAAAATTTCAATTTCAAAATCAAGTTGATGGTTTTGATAGTCAAAATGATGAAGTGGTTTATCAAATAAATAATTTAAATAATATTAGTGATTCTCTTGATTCTCAAAAAAAGATTCAATTTTGCCATACAAAACAAGGAATTATTGGAGTAAAATATGGTGTTGTTTCTACAATTCAAGAAGCTGTTAAAGAATATACTGAAACATGTGAAGCAGAAAGAAGTGAAATGTTAAGAGAGTTATTAAAAAAAGAAATGAAAGGACATAGATTTGATGCAACAATTATTGATTTTGATTCATTAACTATTAACAGTATTGATCTTATTATTCAATACCTAAAATATGGACAGGTTTCAGAAATGATATTTTATGATAATCTTAGTAAAATTCCATTATACTATCGTTCTTTTAGATTATATGAAGCAATTATTCATCATTTTACAAAATATTCTCTTTCATTTCAATTACTTAAAACTTTTATTCCTGATATTAATATCTCTGAAAAACATAGAAAAGAAAGTTCTTCTGCTTTAGATGATTTTTGTGAAATGTTTGATATTATTTATCTTAATGATAAACGTCCTCTTGTTAGTCAACAAATGACATCTATACTTAATACCCCATTAACACATCAAAACTCTCAATATATTTATAATTCCTATTTTATAGGACATGCTCCATTTACTCGAAATAATAAATACACAACATCTGAAGGTATTACACAAGAAAAATTATTCACTCCTTTATATGCACAAATGTCTATTCAACAATACTCCACAATGATTGTTCCATTAATGGAAAATATATTACATGAATTCTTTTTAAGAAGACTTGGAGAAGCTCAAGCAAAATATGAAACAATGTTACCATTATTTAAAAATGGAGAATATATTGAAAATATTCAACAAATTCTTCACTCATCTTTTTGGAATTATAAAGCTACTCCTGTTTCTAGTGATTTAGAAGGATTACAAGCTATTCAATGTATTAATAGTTATTGTAAAATATCAATTAGATTTATTGAAGAGGTATTAAAACTTATTTTAAATTCTTTAGATCCTAAAGTTCCAAATCCACAATTATTAAGTGTTTTAGTTTCTTTACTAGTTAATTGTAAAACAAGTCATCATCGTCATAAACATTATTTTATGACTTACACAATGGAAATGAATGAATTATTATTATGTTCTCCATTTCTAAGAACAACCCAATCTTATTTATCACAAATTGTATCTTTACCAATAAATTCTGCAGTTTATAGAAGACTAAGAGAATTTTTCCAGGATAGAACAGTTATTATAAATTATCTTGAAATTCCTCAATTCTATCAAATTATTTCATTACTAAATTTCCATATGTCTCCTTCAATGTTTTCTCATATTGTTAATGATTTTGAATTAAAGAAAAATATATCAAGAAGATGTCTTGTTGATTATTTCCTTTATTCAACAATGATTTATAATGATTCAATTGAAGTAAAACAATTAAAAGAAGATTATCCTATTTGTTATTGTTGTATGACTAATGCATTATTATTTAATCCACAAGGTGTATTTGATTTAGTTAGACGTAATTTCCAAAGATCAGAAACATATATATCAATGCTTTTTGAGCATTATTTTAATGTAAATGACTATCCTGACTTTATTCAAAAATTACTCCAATTAGACTTATCTACTTCTAATCTTCCATATCCAACTCTAACAATAATATCATTTATCGTAATGTTATTAAGACATTCTGCTTTATCAGAAGATGCATATTTAATAATTGAAAAGATATTACATAATAAATCTATGTTAACAACATATATCGAACAATCAAATGTATTGATTGAAAAATTTAATGAAATTCCTGAAGATTTTATAGCCCAGATGATTACTACTGATATGAAAATTTTATTTGACTTAGTTTGTCATCCTCTTTCATTATAAATTTATTAATCAATCTTTATTTATCTAATATTTTTTTTCGTTTTAACAAGATTCATAAAATCAAAATAACTTAAAAATCAAAGAACTAATAACCAGTCTTAAAAGAATGAATGACTTAAAACAAATTGCTCATAAAACTTGTCTTGAACGATATTCTAAGAATTATGTTCATTATATGAAAAACATTTCTGAAAAAGCAAAACAAGTAAGTGATGAACTTATTGAACTAATACCAATAATTAATGAGTTTCAAAAATCTATTGAAGAAATGAAAACTGAGGTAAATCAGTCAGCATCACAAATGTCGTTATTTCATGAGTTATTGATTATTTCATCAACAAACAAATCATTTATAGAAATACTTAAAACATATGAAAATGGAATAATAAATTTAAGTTCAAGTTTAGTTCAACAAAATAGTTGGGGAGAAACTCTTTCATTCGTTGACGATATAAAAATGCAGCAAACTCAAATGATATCTAATATTATTTCATTCCAATCATTTGCAAAGTACATTATTAACACCGTAAATGTTAGAATGGAAATGAATAATTATTCATCTATTTTACAAGAAGAAGACTGTGCTCAACTTCAATCTGCTGTAACTTCTTTAGTTAATGAAAGAAAGAATTTATTAAATATAAATTATAATTTTAATACTTCTTCAATAATTGAAAAAGATGAGATTCCTCTCCCAATTTTAAAAGCAATGTATTCTCTTTATTTCTCTCGTCGTTCTCTTGAAGGTGTATTTAGAATCTCTACTGATGTAAATGTAATTGATAATTATATGGATTTTATTGGAATAATTGACACTCAAACTATAACAAACGTTGATATTGCAAATGTTATTCGAAAATTCTTTAACACTCTTAACTTTCCTATTTGGCCAAAAGAATTGCTTCCTTCTTTACTTAATTGTACAAAAGAAAATGAAAATAATTCATCTATATGGATTGATAATGTTAGACAATTGGGTTCTCAAATTCCTAAATTTAACTCATTATTACTTAAACATTTACTTGCTCTTTGTGGTAAAATTGCTCAAACATCTAGCTCAAAAATGGACGAATATAATCTTGCTGTTTGTATTGCTATTTCTACTCTTGTTGAAAAAGATGATGTTCAGACTGCAGCAAAAGAAATTAAAACACTTATTAAAGCTTTTGAAATGATGATAAAAAATAGAGCTCTTATATTTCCTGTTTGTTTTCTTTATACTCTTTATTCACTTTTATCAATGTTTAACTCTTTTAGGATGTTTATGACTGTTTTAGAAAGAGTGTAAATAAAATCCTTTCTCCTCCAATTTATAGAGACATATTTTCTAACAAAAGACAATCAGTGTATTTTACGAGATATAAACCAAAACAAAAACAAGGAAAAACATTTAATATTGGAAGTTATGCAAACAAGTTACTAGACCAAAGTTGAAATATCGTTTTTACTTAATTTATTAAATAATTCTATTTTCAATCAGTTCCTTTAACTATATTAAAATAATTAATCTTCATACATCGTTTTATTTTTATTATTTATGTATAATGTTATATTTTAATATTTCCTTTTTATTAACATTTCTTAACTCTAATAATTTTTGCGTGACAATTATTATCAAACTTATTGACAGATATTATTTAGAGGTTATTATCTGATAATTTGGTTTTGTTTATTCTTATTAACATTATGACTATATTTTTTTCTTCTTTTATTTTATTAACTTCTATATTATTAACTGATTCTTCTATACTTGTGGTTGTTTGATTTTATTCATTATGTGTGTAGTTGTTTGTGTATTATGGTATTAATTTATTATGTCATTTATTGAATGAACGTATAAGTATATTGAAATTTATTTATAAGTAATTGAGTATTAATTGATTATATACTATTTATTGTTATGACAATCTTAATTAAAGGTGATTAAAATGTTTCATTTTATTACCACTTTATTTTTTTTAAAACTTGAATTTTTGCAAAATATAATATTTGAAAATACATTTATAAAATAGCAGCAATGTTAAATCAACGTTTCTTATTATTATCATTATCTTTTTTACTTGTTTAACAGCACGTAATATTCTTAAAATAATTCAGTTCTTATACTATTTCTCATTATAAAAAAGAAAATGAAAGAACGAAAACATTTATTGAAAATAAAATGGGTTGTATTAAATAACTAATCACTAGAGTTAGATTTAAGTACTTTTTTCAGGGTATGAAAATTAGCAAAGAAAAAATGC